TAGGTGTTAAACTGTTGATGTCAGTTATCGAACATGGGATTTGTTTAAAGATTAGAGTTAAACTGGAATCCCCAAGCTTCTTCAAATGGCTTATTAGAGAGCTTGTTGTTCTTCCTTACACATGAAGAACTCGTAAGAGGCCAGAGTCAGGTTCTCCAATTGTTCCTTCGACGATCAAATTAGTATATGAACTTGAGTGAAAAATTTGAGATGATGAGGAAGATTATCAAGTCGTGTAAAAAACCAGTCCCCACCTGTAGCTGCATGACTTCATTTTATAGTGAATAAGAAGAGAAAATAGGTAACTCGGGTTGAATTCAGGCAGGTAGCTTACTCGATAGACAGTTGACAAGTGTCGGCCGCTGGCACAGATAAGTCGTCCAGTCATTTATTGCAGGGAAAACAATTATTGCTTAGAGTTGACTAGATCTGATGAGTCATAAAGACTATAGAGGCTAGAGCAATGATGACTTTACCAGAGCAGTTAATGTGAGGGTAGTTGGTTGTCGGTAGGGGGTTCGAGGATATATCATCTCTCTAGTTGTTTGGCCAAAGGTCGACAAACACCGCCTTTATAGTCAGCTACGCAAGTTGTTGACTAGGACAATAGGCCGAGTGGGGGTGACCATAGGATCGGTCTACGTGGTAGGCCGATAGCTACCGCCTTTTTAGTCGGCTACGCAAGTTGTCGACTAGATAGTAGGTCGAGTGAGGGTGCTCATAGGATCGGTCTGGGGAGTAGGCCGACAAGTACTGCCTTTTTAGTTTGCTACACAATTTATCGACTGGGACAGTAGGTCGCAGGTACAACTCATGTTGCTAGTTTCTGAAGTGATTTGATTAAACATAGGGGTGAACATGTGTCGTCTTCTCAGCAGAGATTAATACTTGGCTAACTTTCACCCTATGACAAGTAGAATCATAATTCATTCGATAAAGGAGCTCATAAGCTAGTTTTTTAATATCGGCTTCTTAAAATAAGAGTTAAAGTTAACTTATTTAATTTTTTAACAAACAAGTAGATATATAAAAACTAGCTTAAAAGCTAGTTTGATCAGAAAGTAATCTCTCTGCAAACACCCTCTTGGAGGCCAACATAAAAGGACTTGACCATAGGAGTGGCCGAGGGTTTAGGGTGAGATCTTGCGTCCATAGGACGAACTCAAAAACCTATGAATCATAAATTAGAACAATTCCTTAGCTTTGTTCAAACATCTGTGGACCGTCAAACATGCATAAGCTTTACAAAATATTTTTGAGATTAATCTATACTACTTATAAAAGATGATTAGGGTGTTAAATCTTTTGGTTGTCTCTTTTATCCTTCTAAAATTAAATAATTTTCAATAATGTCTTGAAATTTATTCAATTCATTCTATTTATTACAATATAATTATTCTTGCAATGAACATAAGAACAAATATTAAAAGCTAAATATATATTATAAATTATAATCATATTCCCCAAATTTTATTCAATTCATTCTATTTATTACACTATAATTATTGTTGTAATAAATATAATAACTAATATATATTATAAATTTTAACCATGTTAGTCTTGTGTTAAATAAGAGTAATATTTCACTTTAGATATTTGGTATTATATATATAATTTTAATATATAAGATAATAATATCATAATTTATATTTAAAAATTATATTATAATTTAAGGTTTAATTAAAAATCTAACATCTAATCTAATACTATAATATATTAATATGTTGTGTGATATATAAAATTTTTATGGAGAGGAATACTAATATAAATGTCAACCTTTTAGTGTAGTCTAGAAATAGAATATAAAATTATCATAATATACATTAGTAACTTGCCATATACTCATCATAATATTTGGATACGAGGTAATTTTGAGCATGCAGAATCCCAAGTAGTGTGGGAAGATATTATATTTGCTCTTGACATTGGACATGAGAAGGAAATTTTCAAAGAAGATGTGGAAGCCATAATTAGAGATATCCAAAATAAAGCAGAGCAACACTCAATTTTCATACGCATTGTGGATGATATTCAGCAATGTTGCACATGATTCGAGGAATGAGATTTTTAAGTTGTTCGTCAAATGAGGAATGTAACGGCTCATGTGTTGGTCCGAAGAGCTAAGAAAAATGATAATTTTGTGGCATGGCTCGAAGACCCACCATCATTTTTGCACAATGTTCTGTAGCCTGATAAGGGGCAGCGTTAATCCACATTCTTTTGTTGTGTTTTTAAGTTATCAGTTTAGTTTGATGTGTCTTAATATTTTTTTTCCCAAAAAAACTATTGCAATGTAATAATTAGATCCTAGCTAACAAAGTAATTTATGACATTTACCCTTCCAAACCTACTAATAATGCATTTAATATAAATATTAGTGAGAAAATGAACACATAATTAAAATATTCATATATCTTTTTTCACTGACTAATCAAATTCTCTTAATTAATTATGCCCTAATTATTTCATGACTAATCTACCTCCAAAACATACCACTTGGATATCAAGAGTTGTACAAAATTATACTACATATGGATGCTCAAATGCACAAAAAAACACTAAAATAAAAATAACAAAAATGAAGGAAGCAAAAATTTTTGATAGTGGAGTCGGTCCCTCCGTTATAGTAACTGACCTTGCAGTCAACAAGATTTTAGAGGTGATAATTAAGAGAGAAGATTGTATTGTTTTTCTTTGGAGGAAACAAACAAATCTACAATTGATTTCACTATCAACTTATAAAAAACCATCAATGTATTAGTTATACAATATGGAAATACGTGGAGAGAAAAACTAAAATAAATGTCAATAATTCATTGTTAGTGGATGGCTGAGGGCTCCATTTGAGCCCTCATCGTTGTTTAAAAAAAAGAAGTTGTGATAAGTGTAATATTAGTTGGCCTTAGAATGTTTAGTCTCGTGGCGTTACTTAATATGCATTACGTGCAAAGCACGTCTTACATGCTAGTTACTCAAATACATATTGCAAGAAGTTACGGTTTTTGTATTTCAGGATGGTCCTAAGAAATTTGCTTGGGGTGAAAGTCCATAACCTTAAAAGCTTAATCTCCATTGCTGGAGATTTTTGGGCTATCCAGAAATGTATGTCCATTCAACTTCCAACGTTATGCCTATAATAACTTGTACCTTTTTCTTCAACTAAACTAGAAGTCTAGAACTATGCTAACGCATGTTGAGCACCAAACTTTGCAAATGAAAGAATGTCACAGTTATGAGGAAACTAAAGGCATTTAGGTATGGTGACAATCAAGTATATCTGTATATACTAGGCTAGCTTTGACTCATCCCTTAACCAAGTTAGAATTTGGCTATGGAGAGTGAGACTAACTCTGGCTTGATCTAAGGGCCTAGAATGAACAAGGAAAAATTGGGCTAGAATTAGTCTTTTTATATTTTTTTTCCCAAACAGACAATACCTAAAAACTAGACTAAAGACTAGACATGACCCATTTTAATGATTTGCCAAATTGATCCTGACATTAGTGTCAGATGCCACATAAAAACTCTGTATTGTCACCCACCAGGAGCAAATACTAACTGTGGCCTGATTTAAGGGCCTAGAATGAGCAAGAAAAACTTGGGGTAGAATTAGTCCTTTTTTATTTTTTTTCCCAAACAGACAATACCTAAAAACTGAACTACAGTCTAGACCTGACCCATTTTAACAATTTACCAAATTGACCCTGACATTAGTGTCAGATGCCACGTGAAAACTCTGTATTGCCACCCACCAGGATCAAAAACATTAGAGTTGTTATTTAATATTTTAGTTTTAAGGTCTTTTAGGTTCATTTCAACAAAAATATATGAAACTTATTACATGCAAAAAAACCATTTATGTAGATCTCCAAAGGTTTTTTTCCAAATATCTTTATTGAATTGAATTTAATCTCCATGTCTCTTGCACAATATAATAATCTTTTCTGTATTCTAAGAATACAAATATTTTAGGCATTTATTCTTTATAAATTATGATAGAGGATTTCACTAAATTACGGTATAGGATTTTGTTTCTAGTTCTAATAAAATACAGAGAGTAAGATACCCCATAAATCAATCTATGCATAAACGCATTAAATTTAATGTTGTGCTTTGTGGGTATCCTATTCATTAGAGGATCTGATAAACGAAAACTAATATCACTAAAATGAAGAAAAAAATAGCAAGAAAAAAGTTTAAATTTTGAATTCAACGTAATCTCAATGTTTCTTGTAATATAGTTATCCTTTTTATTTCTTAGAATGCAAATATTTTAAACGTTTATTCTCTCTAAATTATTGTGGAAAATTATGTTTCTAATTCTAATAAAAAAAAGGGTAAGGATACTCTATAAACCAATTTATGCATAAATCCATCAAACTTGATTTATTGATTTGTGGATATTCTATTCATTATAGAATCTGATTTTTCAGAAAAAAACTAACATAACTACTCATGAAGAAAAAGATGGAAAAAAAACTGACACGATAAAAGTAAACTGTACATAATGAAAGAAATAAAAGAAAAAGAGAAATAAAAAAAATATAATTATTAGATTTAGTTATGACTAGGTATGATTTAATACAAATTACTAAGTACTAAATATTAAAATATTATAATTTTCTAATAATAAATATTTTTAATTTGACGAGAAACCTTATATGAGTAGTTTGATTAGAATTACCAAATATTTAATTTTATATTTGATTATAAAAATTTTCTAATTATGAATAGTTTTAATTTGATGGCACTTGTTAGATAAATATAAAACTAAATATTTGAATTG